GCCAATATGAATACCAGTTGGCAGTAAAGGCCGAAAATTCCCAGAGGCCAATCACTCTGATGATTCATGCATTAATCGACGCATCGATCTTGACGCCATGTACACGAATCTCAAAGCAAAATGGAAAAGGTGAAGGCCAATCCAAAGGTGACGTCGGCACACAGAATCGGCCCATCCTCAGCACTGACAAGGCCATATCAGTTTTCCGGGTATATTTAAATTCGAACTGTTTTTCTCACTTGCTACACGTCTGACGAAGAGATTAAGAACCGGCCCCATCAACTATGAAACAAAGTTTGTTCCACTTCTCAAAGGACCCATTTTCTCCGAAATATATAAATATGTATTTAGGAAGGTGAAGTTCTTTGGGAAACAGCAAAATTTTATTGTGAATTTCCGAGACTGGTTCCCCAGCTCGTCTTCAGACAACGGGTGTGCAAAAACAATTAACTTTTAGACTGAGTCTGGCAAAAGGATTCCATGATTGGTTAAGGGCGTCATCTCGGGATTGGTTGAGTCAGTTTGAATCTGTCCTTAACGATTTTGTATGTGGCATCTAAATCGATATGCCGGTTGATGCATTCCTCATCTGAGTGCATTGCCTCCAGGGATTCGCGGCCTTTTCTTGTTTGGCAGGCGCCAACAATGCGAGTGTTCTCCCATGCGAATTTATGCCCAGTGTCTAGTGTGCGCATGGCCATCTGGGATAGATGGTCGCGTCTCTTCACCGCTAACCGATGCTCATGTATACGGGTTGAGACAGATTTCCCAGTTTGGCCACAATAAACGGCATCACAAGATGAACACGGGATTTTGTAGACAACACCTTTTCTTTCCAGATAGCCAACCCTGTCCTTAGGGTGTACAAGCTGTGTGCGTAAGGTGGTTGTCGGCTGGTGTGCTACGTGTATTTGGTATTTTTTCAATTGTCTTTCGACTAATTCAGATACATTCTTGACGTATGGGAGAGTTCGCCATGTGGTTAATTTTGGTGCCTGAGCGGCCGCAGCATTGGAAATACCTTTTTCCTTGAGTTGCTGGTGCCTCATGCATTGACGTATAAAGTCATGCGGGTACCCATTTTGGGAGAACAGTTTGTAGAGGTATTTCATTTTTGCTCTATAACTTTTTTCATCAGAGCAGTGAGTTTTGGCTCCATTCAGGAGGCTGTAGACTGTACTCCGTTTGTGAGAGACAGGGTGGTTACTCTCATAGGCCTTATGAAGTGAGGTATATAAGCATGTCAAGTGTCCTCTGACACAGCGTTCGTTGTCGCCAGTAGCAAGCTGGCGGGCGGACAGAATGGGATCGAGTGAGATCCTAACCACAACAGTGAGGGTCAAACGCCCACTTGACATGCATATATATATATATATATATATATATATATATATATATATATATATATATATTGAAAAACAGGCATCCCAAGAAATATAATAAGAAAGGTGAAGTTCTTTTGGAAACAGCAAAATTTTACTGTGAATATTCGAGACTGGTTCCCCAGCTCGTCTTCAGACAACGGGTGTGCAAAAACAATTAACTTTCAGACTGAGTCTGGCAAATGGATTCCATGATTGGATAAGGTCGTCATCTCGGGGTGGGTTGAGTCAGTTTGATTCTGCCTTAACGATTTTGTATGTGGCATCTAAATCGATATGCCGGTTGATGCATGCCTCATCGGAGTGCATTGCCTCCAGGAATTCGCGGACTTTCCTTGTTTGGCAGGCGCCAACAATGTGAGTGTTTTCCCATACGAAATCGTTAAGGACAGATTCAAACTGACTCAACCAATCCCGAGATGACGCCCTTAACCAATCATGGAATCCTTTTGCTAGACTCAGTCTAAAAGTTAATTGTTTTTGCACACCCGTTGTCTGAAGACGAGCTGGGGAACCAGTCTCGAAAATTCACAGTAAAATTTTGCTGGTTCCCAAAGAATTTCACCCCTATCATTATATATATATATAGGGGCGCTCACCGATAGCTCCTTTGGAACTCCTTCGTTCCGTTGTGCCTTACGGGCCTTCTCTCGAGCCCAACTAGCAGCCGTACAGAGATGCATGATTTAAGCAGAATGTTATTGCCAAAAAGAAAAAGGAGGCTGGAGTGGCCATTTCGGGCTTGTTAGCCGTCGTCAGCCACTCATACCCAATCCCGAAGTGTGGGACACCTAGGTATGACTGGCTGACGACGGCTAACAAGCCAGAAATAGCCATTCCAGTCCCCCTCGTCGTTTTCAGTAAAAACTCTCTGCCTATATCATGTGCCGCTGTGCGGCTGTTGATTGGGATCAAGAGAGAGCCATTAAGGCACAACGGAACGAGTGAGTTCCGTAAGAACGATCGGTGAGTGTCACTTTACCATTGTATATTTCCGATCGAAACCGACAGGACAATAAGCATGTAGCTCAATGGTTAGAGGTGTTGGAATCCTGACCAACAGATCGCGGGATCGAGCCTTAGGTGTTACACACTTCGGGGTTGGGTATGACTGGCTGACGACGGCTAATAAGCCCCCAATGGCCATTCCACTCTACCTTGCTTTGTCAGACCAAAATTTTGCATATATAAATGGATATATGTACATCTACGAAGCTTGTTTGCTTCGGGACGACAATGGATCGATTTGCGCCCAGTCCTGCCAAAGTGAGCACCCCCACTCCTAACGCCATGACTGACGGCCGATAGGCAAAGCCAACAGCCGGTAACCCAATTCCAACTCCCGTCCAAAGCGGACTGTAGAAAGGCGAGCACTGGGACAAAGACAGTGGCCAATCCCGGCTCCACTCACTATCCCTCGCCCTTAAAACTGAACACAATTCTGCGGACGAAAAATGCAGGAAATTTGCTCTAGACGCAAACCACACCGTTCTGCCTTTTTACCGCAAACTGATTTTTCAAGAACGTCAAAATGCCTACCTAAATTTAAAAAGTAGCCACAATTTACGGCCACGCTGTCGGTGTCCATCGAACATCGAATGGGAATGGAGCCACGTGCAATACCCATGAGCATAGGCCTAAAGATGGCCTTTCAAGTACCCTTTCCCGATGCCACGATCTGCCAGTTTACAGCACTTAGCAACTTTTTGATCCCACGCATACATAAATGACCTACGATCGCGAAATAAATCCAGAAAATTACAGTCAAGAACGCAAAATGATAGCGGAACAATCACACTTGCCAGAGTCAATCCACTCCTCACATCTTTACGGTTGTAACTAAAGCCGGGAGTCATAACGCGCAGTCTGCTAGAGTCCGCGCAAGCGAGAAAGAATGCCATGGTCGTTTTCCTATTCCGAATAATATGCAAAGAAGCAATACCTCCTTCCAGCTCAAAAAACATAAGCGAAGAATAAGAGCTGATAGGTGTTAGAAGACCGGGTTACTAGGAATCCGTGCTGAGCTGTACTGGGATTCTCGAGGCTTCTGGGAGGGGGTGTTAATTGAACGGAAGGGGCAAATGATGAAGAACAACCGCGCTTGTGACGAAGCAGGACATGTGATTTCTTCCACAACCAGGAAAGGATTTTCCCCCGAAGGCAGGATTAAAATTCTTCGGGAAGAGAGACGGACGGATTCCACTTCTGACGGCTTTCAGAGTGCTGGCCGGGACGCCATGTGATTCTGGGCAATCAGACTGTCGAATACACATTATGACTGCAGTTACGTTGAAGAGAATAAACCCGTTCCAAAATTGCGCATTCAGATTCGGAAGGATAGGATTTGCAACAACATTTTTTGCAACAGAAGACATTAAAACTATAAGCGGTCATTTTGGCATCTACTATGGGATTTCTGAGTGCATGTTGCAGGATGACATATCTGCGTCCTTCTACGAGGTTTCACTGTACGGAAGTGTTTCGTGGCAGTTAACGAGTGGTTTTCAACGAAGTTTTTCTCATCTGTGAGGCAGCATTACGAATACTTCACTCGCTGAAAATGTAGGGCGGATCAAAAGCAGCACTGGAATGTCATTTTGTATGTGGAGAGGACGGGAGAGAATTCGCGTCTCCGACGAAGGGATAATTGTGAAACTATCTCTCCGGTAACATGAACTGTAGTCTTAATCATGGTCCAAATCTTCATATACACTTATAAGTGGCAGGCATGCATGCATGCTGCATATAGATCCAGTTCCCCCATCAAGACTATCTTGACGGTCATTGAGGATGAAGGTGTTGCTCATTTTCCAGTATATACCTATATATCAACATGAATGAAGATTCGAGAGTCCAGATAAATTATCCCGTTCATCATCCTCAAAAGAAGACAGAGAAGATGGAAATGAGGAAGTTTCCGAAACATCAGCACCAATACAGTGTTGTACACAAAATCGCACCTTTTTCTTCTTCGTCTGCTTTTGGGGGATTATGAACGGGATACAGGCATTCCGAAGGACAGAGAAAACGCGCTGCCCAGGTAATTGAATAGAAAAAGACGGGAAGGCGATCGCTGGAACCAATTGTTTATTTATCCGACGTTTCGAACTCTCACGCGAGCCCATCGTCAAGGAATGAAAAAATGTACAACTCATTGTATATTTAACTCACCACTGCGGGGGGTGACCTCTAGCTGCGCTGCTGATTTGTTCACGCAGTGCTTGATAGGCGACTGACAGATCGATATGTCGGTTGACTGTCACACTTCCTGCAGCAGGCGAGCAACTCGGTCGTCCGACTGGCCCAATATTCTCACGCTCTCGAAGTCAAAGGCGTGCCCTGGCGAGGAGGCGTGGGCGGCTACCATGGAGAGCTTATCCTTCCGTCTCACAGCCAACTCGTGTTCGTGCAATCTCGTGCGTACCTGTTTGCCGGTTTCACCAACATAATTGGCTTGACCACAAATGCAGTCTGTTCGGTAAATGATCACCGATTTCTGATTGATGAGAATCGGGTCCTTAGGGTGCATGAGTTGCCGGCGTATTGTTGCATCTGGTCTGTGAGCGACACCAATCTCACATTCGCTCATCAGTCTAGCGGGTTCTTCTGACACACCGGCTATTTACGGCACTGCACGCCAGCATTTCGGTTTTGGGTGCCCCTTCGGTTTTCTTCCGGGGGGGTTTCTCGCCTGCACTTTTCGACAGCATTCCCAGGGTAGCCGTTCGCTGTGAAGAGTTCCCGCAGGAACTGGGCCTCAGCCTTCTTGTCGGCTGGCTCGGTGCACTGGGTTTCTACACGCCGGTAGAGTGTTCCCACGCAGCTGCGTTTGTGCGAGAGAGGATGGTTGCTAAGGCAACTGAGAAGACGGAAGCTTTTCATTGCCTTGCGGTAAACCGTTGTTTTTAGTTCACCATCACCATTTCTCCGAACTAGTACGTCAAGAAACGACAACTGGCAATCTCTTTCTTCCTCCATCGTGAACTGGATGTCTGGGAAGATCGAGTTGAGGTGTCGCCTGAATTCCCCAATCTTATCCCGATTGATGATGACAAATGTGTCATCGACATACCGTACCCACAGTCGTGGCCGATAGTGGTCAAAAGTCAGTGCCTCCAGTCGCTGTAACACTGCCTCAGCAATCAAGCTGGATAGCGGTGACCCCATGGGTGTAGCTTTAACTTGTTCATACACAGCTCCGTTTAAGGTGAAGAAAGTCTTCAAGCAGTGCTTCAGGAGATCAATAAGGTGTTTTGTCCTGAGTTTTTTGTCCGTTTCGTCATAATGTTCTTCTAACAGGGTTTGCAGGGTTTCAACCGTGAGATGCTGTGGGATGGGAGTGAAAAGTCATATCACGTCGAAAGAAACCATCACTTCGTCCTCTGTAAGTCGAATACCTTGCAGCTTTTCGATGAATCTTTCGGCTGAGTGAACGCATGTTTCAGAACCCTGAGTTATAAATTTCAGACGCTAACACAGCCACTTGGCCAGGCCAAACGCTGGGGTGCCTCTTAGATAAACAGTCAGCCGTACGGGAGTTCCTGGTTTATGGACCTTGGGCAGACCATAGAATCTCCCGATCGCTGAATCCTTTGGTTTCATCCTCAGCCAGTCAAGCTGTGTTATTGCTTTTGACTTTCGAAGACTCGCTAGGTCCTTGCTGATTTCGCTTATCAGCGTCTTCGTCGTGTCGCCTTCACGAGGCAGTTCTGTCGCCCAAAAGTTCATCAACTTTGTTGATGTGGTCGTCTTTGTTCAGTACAACCGTCAATCGCCCTTTATCGGCTGGGAGTATGACAATGCTTTTGTCAGCCTTTAACGTCCGGAGTGCTTCGTCTTCTGCTTTTGAAAGTGTTTTGAGTTGCTTGTGGGACATGAGTCTGGAGGATATTCGCATCCGTAGTATTGAAGCAGGCATCACGTCTCAGCACTTTTATCTGCTCTGCTGTCAGTTGTTCAGAAGATAGGTTGTGCACAACCTTATCATGGCAGAGATTTGGATTCATTTCACTGAATGTGGTCAACTTCTGCTTCAGATTGGCTTCCCGCGCATCGCCGCTGCGGAATCTGTCATTCGCGAAGCGCCAATTACTGAAGAAAACAGGAATCTACTACGACAGCGAATATCTTCCAGACTTACACTAGTCCTATCTGCACGGCTGGACCCATTCCGCGTCATCTATGCTACATCCTTCTGCAGCCAGCGGTGTATTAGAAGCAAAATATGCTCGTCAGTGTAAGATTGTACAGCCCTCAAACAATCGCATCAGTTAGTCTGGCTGGTCGTACAACTACAGCAAGGGCCATTGCCCATGCCACGTCGAACTCTCCTGCAATCTGCAACACAGGATCAAGGGGGCCATGCGTGAGAGTCTGCAGACCGGTAGTTGGCGTGCACCCTAGCTAATGGATTATCCGGTACAGAATCCAATTAATGGTGCACCCCTGGAACTAACACGCACACGCATATATATAAGTGGTTGCGAACACGACCAAATTCGAAGTCGTCGTCGTCTGCCTCCACCTGCCAAAATGCGCATCCTCATTCTTACCCTTCTGGCTGTCGCCGTGGTTGCCATGGCTCAGGAGTAAGTCCTGCCTTCTGAACACCATCTAACCACTCACTCTTTCTCCTTTAGGGAGGTAAGTCGTCACTGCAGCTGCCGAATTACATGCCCACGAACAGTACCTATACCTGAGGGTTCTTGAGGCAGTTTGATTGGTCAGGTCAGGTCAGGTGTAAGTGCTGTCTGCATGCAAACTCCGTTATGCCACGAAATGCATTAGACATCTCACTGAGTAAACGAGCAGCACTTGCAGGTATATTTTAATCACAGATGATGCCACATCAAGTAGCCATTAGCGTATGCGCGGACGGAAGATTGTAGCAAGCCAAGCAGAGATGGATGATGTGACGGCATCTGAGATGCGTGAAGTCGTATTTTTAATCCCCTTGTTCGTGGCAGTTCAAGCAATATGTTTATCAGTAGTAAGGTCATGTGTATTGTCAAACAGCGGGAGAGCAGTAGTTACGTGGGAAGGGAGGCTGTTTGGTGGGGAGTGAAGTGTCTGGTTGATTCCAATCCCCAAATCTGATCATACGCTAATGCAGAGATCTCGTTGATACACCAGACCAACCCCATCCGTGCCCTGCGTGCCCGTCGAGTGGCCGCGATTGCCGCACTTGAGGACTACTTCGACAACAACCCCCTCGGACAGAGGATCGCTAAGCACATCGTAAAGGCGAAGGAAATCCTCCGTGAAAGTATGTCATTCTGATTATGTTACCAAATCATCCAATTAATTTTAGTTCGCCAGCGACTGCGCAGACGTCTTGCAAACTACCTGAAGGGAATCGAAGCGGCGAACTGAATTTGGTCGATGCCTGCCCTCTTGCGTGTCACTGTGGTCTAAATAGCTCAACAAAATAAACATTTTCTAGTCCACTCTCTCTCTCTCTCTCTGTTTAATTTTTTTTATTTAGATATTCGGTGTTTGCTAATAATTGATATTCCGACTTCGTAGCGTGTACGCTACTGGTACATATTACTGGACAATCTAGTTTGGCGGGATATTGATTTGCGTCGGTGATACTGTCTCTCTTGTCAACACGAATGCTGCCAAATCAGAAGTCAGGGAAGATAGGCTAGGTTGAACGGACTCTGCTGAGGCGAGAGAGTATTTAGGTGGTCAAGCAAGCAGTTGCAGTATGCGCTCTAACCAAACGAGTGACGGCTGAATTGCACGCGTTTGAGCTTTGTCCTGGTGCAGCCAATTAGCATTGATGGCAGCCTTAGATGGCATTTTTCTCCTTTTTCTGCCCCGACGTGCGCGTAGAGGTACTCGAAAGCCTTTTTCCTCCTCTAGTCTCCGTCCTCTGCGGCTTCATTATCTCGTTGTCTAGGGAAATTTGGCTGTAACCGACCTTGGGATATGCAACCTCCCGATCGACCGTATGCACCTACACCTCTACCCGCCCCACCGATAACACCATTTAAATTTATTTATGTTTGTGATTCAAAGTTTGGGCCAAGTGCAGTTTGTGACACCTGAAAATTGATGAAGTTCAATTCTTCTAAAAAAAACCTTGGTTTTAATGATTGTCCAGCTACATTTCGATCTCCGTTACCAACGATGTCCACAGTGCGTTCCATAGCAGGTTGAGAGAGAAGGGGAGAGAGGGGGAGAGAGAGTAATATGCTTTATTTGGAAATTATTGTTTGAAACCTTCATCAGTAGCCGCCCCATACATTTAAATCAGAATAGGGATTTGCAAGTGATGTAGTAGTAGGTAGGTTTGCCTAAAAGTGAATGCCTCTTACGCCGACAGTTCAAGTCTCAGTTCCTGTATTGTATTGTATTGTATTGTATTTTAGGGTAATAGGCAATGCCCTTGATGACCCTATTGAAAACGGTACATAAAATATAAATGGTAAATATACATCTTACTAAACTTTTGTCAGTAACATATTTGTTCACGGAAAACGTTCACAATGCGGGACTGCAAAGGGTGCGGCAGGCGGTCTTCTCAGTGTACACAAGAAATTTTAAGTGCAGTTATATACAATCAGCATAAAGTGCAGTCATTTGCATAGTTTGAGAGGGGGCATCTCATTAAGAGTCAGGGGTGTGTTAAGTAGGGATGAAATCAAGAAATTAAATTTATGGCTGGCCGCAGGTAGTCCTGTTGTGAAAGTCGTCGTTTATCAAATATCAAACGATCCAGCTGCCTTCTGAATACAGCGATTGTACCAGATGTCACTATTTCACTTGGGAGTGAGTTCCATGGTCGAACAACACGCTGGCTGAAGGAAAACTTCCGATTGTCTAGGCGTGTACGCTCCCGCTTGACTTTGTAAGGGTGACCGCGCAGGTGACTCGTGGTCGTGAATTCAAAGAAGTCGTCAGTTTTGAGCGAACATTCATGCCCGTGGATAATGCGGAATGTCCATAACAGGTCACACCTCATTCTTCTATAGGATAGGGGGAACAAATTTAACTGGATCAGTCTTTCAGGGTATGACAGAGTCCTGAGACCGTCCACCAGTTTTGTGGCCCGTCGTTGCACCTGCTCTATGGGATCACTGTCTTTCTTCATCCAGGGCATCCATGATGGTATTCCGTATTCCAAGTGCGATCTGACGAATGTGCCGAATATCTGTGAGAAGAGTTCTGGAGGAAAGGTTTTGAAGGCACGCCTAATCCAGTGCATGATGCTGGTTGCCTTTTGGACGACTCTTTTGCAGTGCTGAGAGGGCAGCAAGTTTGAGCATGTCCAGACACCTAGGTCTTTGTGCGTGTCCACTTCATTTAGTAGAACCCCATTTATGATGTACTGATGTTTTGGGAAGCGCCTCCGTCCAGATTCTAGTCGCAAGACTACACACTTGGATACGTTGAACGCTAGAAGCCACTTGCTGGACCACGCAGCCAGCTTATTAACATCTTCCTGTAGCTTTTGCGCATCTTCAACACAGCTGATTGTTTTCCAGATCTTTATATCATCCTGTATTTCCCCTTCTTTACACGTAATGTATAGTGCTGGAAACGGTAATATAGAATGCTGATATTCTGATGTGTGGCAAGGGATAAGTCAAAAGCCCCAATACACGGGGAGGGATGAGATCACATCAATTAGTTCAGAGTGAAGGGGATGGACATTATCATTCAAAATTCAGTCATGAAGCAATGTTTCCCCGGAATGAATTTAAAGCAAGCAAGGACAGCAGAATTTAATGGCACCAGAAAATTTCGCGACGGCTTCTCAACTGCTGCCTGTCGTTGTATGACACAAATAACAAGTGAGAATGGTACAGAGGTTTGAATTTCGACAGAGAAAATCAATAGAAAACATCAAGGTCAACGTATACTGAGCGTAGACTAATCAATAAAATGATATTTTCAAAATGCCACAGAGGAATGAAAATAGGAAAGTAAACATGCTGCGGAATTTCAAAATGGCTTCTAAAGCAGGAGGGTAAGATTCCACGGTCTTCTATTACAAAACATCTCCTTGATAGTGGCCATTCGGGTGACCCCAAAACGTCTTTTCGAGTATTAGTTCGAGCACGAACTACTCGGTTATTGCGCTACCTGGAGGCAGCCTATATACGGCGGGAGAAACCCGACCTATGTAAACAATTAGACCACTTGGTCAACCTCAGTTTGCCCTGGTAGGCCTGAGTCCTTTTGATTTTCGAAATCCATCAGCATGTTTACTTCCCTATTTTCATTCCTCTGTTACATTTTGAAAATACCATTTTATCGATTAGTCTACGCGCAGTATACGTTGACCTTGCTGTTTTATATTGATTTTTTCCGTCGAAATTCAAACCTCTGTACCGTTCTCACTTGTTATCTGTGTTATGCAACGACAGGCTGCAGTTAAGAAGCCGTCGCGAAATTTTCTGGTGCCATTAAATTTTGCTGTCCTTGCTTGCTTTAAAATTCAATCAGCCAATTGTTTGACTATTGTGAAATGTCGTTGCACTATGATATCGAATTTTGTCCATCAGTTTGGCTGACGAAAAATAGCCACTCCTCCAACTCTGCTGCTCGATGAATATTTGCAATCGTTTTAAAATCAATAGAAGGACGGGTTTCCAAAAGATAGCCAACTTCAGTGTAAGTGTACTCTTGTGATAACCGAAGGAGGCCAATAAATGACAACTTTTCTCTGGAGTTTCGGAAATTCCCATAGCAGAAATCAGAAGACGAGGTGGTGAGCATACGTAGCTTTTGATTAATTCTCGTCGGGCCAGAGCAATTATATGGGAAGGGGGTAGAAGTAAAAACACGTCAGTGATAAGATAAATCGATTAAAGTTCGCCTTAAAACGGGTTGAGTGTGGGAATATGGGGGACACCTAGGTATAACTTGCCAGCTACAGCGATACGAAGTCCTTTTCTGATGGAAATGTAGGGGAGATAACGTGAGAGGATCACGAATACGACATATTGGCCACAGAGTGTAACAGTTTGTGTCGTGACCAGTTGTCAACAAGTTTAATGCTGAATTTACGCAATACTCTAATTCCTTTAAAATGGGGCAAGCGTGTCGTACGGATGACCTCATTGCCTTAGTGTGGACACACAAAAGAAACAAAAATATCAGGACACATGGAGTGAAATATGCCAATGGATATGCAATTACTAGACTGCCCGCGCAAATTGAGGTCATAAAAACTTGTTACTCAGAATTACAAGACTACGGGGGGCGACGACTTGCACTCGAATGACTTTATGGTGATAGTAAGCCCGCGCCGCATGCACCGCACTCTCTCCTCCCTCACCCTCCTAGGCCCGGTTTCAAGACGGAGTTAAAAAGGCCGGAGGCGGGATCGGGCGCAGGTGGCTGGCGCGGAGTGGGTCTGCGTCTAGGCGTGCCGACACACCCCCTTCTCCGGCTTTTATTATGGACCTGCACTCTAATAATGAGTGCCGGACACTGACCTGTCTTATGCGTCGCCAATTACAACTTCCTCTTGACCCACAGTATGGGGTCACCCCAGCCCCAATCGCAACACACTTCCGGCCACTCTGCACGTCCAAAAACGAGACGGCCCAGCCCAGTTTACTGACAATGCCGTATAGGAATAGCATGGCTACTCCAAGTGGGACAGTGCGTCCCCAGCCCCGCAGCGCATTCACGCCCCAGCCGAATTCCTAGTGGAGGTAGGGATTAAGTATATGCGCGGGGTAGGAAAAGGCTCATTTCCTCCTCCTCCTCCTCCTCCTCCTCCTCCTCCTCCTCCTACCCCGCGCATAAACTTAACCCTTACCCTAGTTTGAAATTCCAATATGAGTGCTCCTCCTGGCAAGAAAAAGCGCCTGGGCCTCAGTGTTCCTTTAGCCGTCTACGTTGCAGTATTCTACCTGTGGGTTTCATGCTTGAACTCAACCACCCTGATGTACTGCTCAACGTACCCCTCAGTCACCTCCTTCTCCTCCTCCTCCTCCTCCTCCTCCTCCATATCCTACACCTCTATACACAAAATAGGCGCCCTTGATACCCAAAAAAATTTGAATAAAGTACTGAAGTGTAGAAAGCGAGAACGGACGCGAGAGTTTGCAATGCTGGGCAACTCGAAGACTTCCAACTTACAGGTCAGGAAAGACAGATCAGGTTGGACAAGTTTTACTGAGGTGAGAGAGTGTACAGACCCAATTACTTCTTTGGTGGAATTCAGTTTTAACTTCTTGAGCGAGGATCTTACAAGATTCTTCTACCGTAGATGGCATCGTTCTGATCCTCCAGACCCGATATTTGTGAAAGAGGAGAATACGAAGAAACCGAGAAATTCGATCCTTCTCCCTCCACCGCGACAACTCTGTAGGAAAACTGGCTGAGATCCACCTCACCAATAACACCAAGCAAATGTAAAAGAGCGCATGGTTCAAAGGTTGCGACCGGGGCAGTTTGTGACACTTGAAAATTTGAGATATCCAGTTCTTCTAAAATTAAACCTTTTCCTCCACGATAGCCCATCGACAGTTCGATCTTCATTACCAACGGCGTCTTATGTGTGACCTACAGCAGGGCGAGCAAGATAGAGAAATGTGCTTCAGTTCGAATGTTTCATTCAAATTAGGCATTAAAAATAACTGCACTCATTCTGGTTGAAATATAAGTTTACATAGGAGGCAAGAGTAGGTGGGTTTGCATAAAATACAATATCTATGTCGAGGACAGTTCAAGTCTCAGTTTCTGCGTCTCGCTTTCTGCAGGATAAGCAGGAATAATAACATTATCGTCAAGGACGAGGGAGACTGGAATGGCCATTTCTGGCTTATTAGACGTCGTCAGCCAGTCAAACCCAAGTCCGAGGTGTGCGATTCCTAGGGCTCGATCCCGCGACGACCTGTTTATTAGAAGTCCAGCGGCTCTAAACATCGAGCCACGGGCTCGATGTCCTGTCGGTTGCGATCGGGGATATACAAAGGTAGAGGGGCGCTAACCAATCGATTTTACGGAACGAGTTCCCTTTAACGCCTACCGGACCCCCCCTTTAATCCCCGTTTTTGACCAGCAAAGTTACCGCGCGGCCCGTTTTAAGGGCAGAGGCTGGGTATAGAGAATGCATTACTCAGCACTATCCCAGATCAGAAAGCCGGATTGAACGTTGAATCTGCCATACGTATGCTCCACAGCTAGGTGAGGCATGCACGCTGACTTGCGCGAGATTTAGTTTAGTGTAGATTTAGTGAATATGACCTTGCGAAGCGCCTATCGCACTCTCTCATCATCCCCTGCCTAAGACCGCTGTAAAGTCAAGGAGAGCGGAGACGAAGGCGGGCGCAGGTGGCTGTTGTGGCCGAACCTGTGGCAGTTCGCGTTTCCTTGCCTTCCGCTTTGCCAAGATGCCTACCTGTCCGCCTCACACTCCTGGTCGATACGCTGCTGGGATGCGCGAGGCTTGTCACTCGCCTCGCGAGTGTTCCAGGCCAATCAACGCTGTGCCCCCTCTGATTGGCTGGTGGACGCGGAGCCAACGAAGGGCGCACACACGAGCTGGGTCTGAGCACCTCGAAGGCGGACACAGACAACACAGCATGCCTGGAGGGCGCGCTCGCGACGACTGCCCACAGAGCCTTTGTGTACGCACTTCCAAAACAGTAAAGGTTGTCCGACTCACTCCGTCTTGCCTGACTTATGATTGAGAAGCTTTGTCTTGTCGACCACAGTACTCTCGACAAACCCGCGTCTTGGCATTGCACTCCACACTCGCTGGTCCACACCAGAATTGACTAGGATTTTAACTAACAACACCACAATAGGTTAGAGGGAGGAGGATGACTGGGCCGCCATGCGTAAGACCTGTATACCCAGTGGGAGCATAAGAGCATCTACCACCCAAGAACCGCCAGCGCACACCATGCTGCTAGGGCAACGGTTCAGGCCTCAGTTCACAGTTGGCGGTGGTGGTGGTGGTGGCGGTGGTGGTGGTGGTGGTGGTGGTGGTGGTGGTGGTGGTGGTGGTGGTGGTGGTGGTAGTGGTGGTGGTGGTGGTGGTCCATGCTGGGATTTGCTCGGGGTGGAAGTTGCCAATGAAGTGTGCCGTCGGGGGGGGGCGGCTATAGTGTGATTGGTGCGACGGGTGTGGCGGTCGGCGCTTGGATTGCAGCAGGGCCGAGGCCGGAAGAAGAGGTAGGTGTTGTCGGGTAAATGATTCATCGAATCCGAGGGTGTCCTACGAGACCGATTCGTGCGCGGAATGCGCGTTGTAAGCGCGGGTATGTTGGGAGCGGGGCATTGTTCGCACTGAGGAGGGCTCAGCAAGGTAGTAACTAGTCCTCTGACAGAGGACAGGGCGAGACTAAATCTGAGCCCTTCGAGGTCATTCAGTTAATATGAGGTAGGGCTCGGTTCATTCAGAAGTGCGCTATGAGTGGACTCCGGCTCTCTTACTAAGCACAAATGCATTCCTTGCTAGGAATGAAATGAATTGCAATGCAGATGATCTGGTGCCGCTCAGCAACCCTTCAGAGCATGTGCCACCAGCGGCTAGTTCGCGTGATCCGTGCGTAAAAATTGCTCAAGTGAAGAGCTAGAAAGGATGACGCAGAGTAAACACCTGATAGTAGGCCAAACAAAGTCTTCCTTAAAGTACCTATAGTATAATTTGGATTTGAAGGCCCAGATAAACAAAAGTACTCGTGACACCCGAGCCGCCAGAATTCACTTTCGCGCAAGAAAGCACATACGCCGAATAAGTACATCAACTCCGCAGAGTGGTGCTGTTAGATTGGACGGTGACTTGCCTAATCGTCGAGACCCAAAACATCCAAGAGAACCTATCATTTGAAGATTACTCGGCTGTCGAAAGGCTGAATCACACAGGGGAGAAATACTCCTGTTGCACGTGACGGGTAAATGGAGGAATTTTACTCACGATATTCGCCAACACATCCCTCGCTGGAGCCAGGAAATCCATCCGATGGCCGGAATCAATGGGGACCATTTCCAAGGCGAACAACCACCGGAAGTCAGTTCGTGCCCAAGATTTCACAGTCAACCGCTCAGGTGGAGAGTACGAGTATTTCGGCAACTGAGAGGGCACAAATGAGAGGGCGGAAGACTTCAGACGGAAACATATCTGATATTCCAGATTATCAGCAGGAAGAGGTAAGCACTGTGGAAGATACAAGCGACGTTGACGAGCAAACCACAATACGCGAGATAAGAGTAAGGGGTGCAGAATACCAATGGGGAGAGGCGTATAATATTTCAAAACCAGCAAACGAACTGAACGAAAATGCCGCGAAGGCCAGGAGGAGCAGCATCGATAAAACGAAAGAAAACATCAGAAATGAAAGTAGTGGGGAGAACGGGGAGAAAGAGGAAACATCAATAGAAATAAGCGATTATGATTTTGGAGACGAATATGAGGAAAGCGAGTACGAGTACGATATATCCATATCGACAGATAACGAGGAAGAATGCGAAAGAAGTCAAAAGGAAGAAGGAAGACAACTAGGAACAACAAATCAAGCGAGAACAGAGAATGAAAACGAATCACACAAAAAGAACACAAGACAGGAGGTGAAGGAGGAGGAGGTGAACAAGGACAAGAAGGATACCGAGCAGGAGCAGGTGAATGAGGCATCAAGCATGAGGGAGAGGGGGCATGAAGACGAAGGCACAGCCGCCAGCGTAGACCCGGCCTACGTCGACGCCACCTCAGCCGCTCCAGGCGCAACAGCCGGCGCAGAAACGGTGCCAGACCAGTCAAACATCGACAGGTCCATCACTGAGCCACAGCTGCCGCCGACGCCGCCGCCGCCGAAGCCGCAGTTGCTGCCACCACAAGCTCCCAATATCGCCGACTTACAGTCAGACGAGGAAGCAGTGGACAGGCTGGAGTCTATCCAAAGCATTCATGAGCTTGCAACAGAAGATTCCTCCGGAGACAGACTGAGTGAGGAGCGGGAGAAAGCAGACATGCCGGCGTCCGGAAGACAGTCAAAACTACTGGATGCCACCCATGTGGATGATAAAACTGATACCGGCGACGTCCCAGTTGCTGCCACACCTATGAGCAAAGAGGAGTTGTCGCCTCTGAAGACAGAGGAGGGCGAGCTAGAGCGGGCGGTGTATATTCCCAACATGAGTGGAGGGGATCAAGATGCAGCCAACAAAGTCGACGCCACCTCAGCTGCTGGAATCTCAACCGTCGCCGCCGCCGCCGCCGCCGACTCAGATGTCACAATGACAGTCGAGCAGAACATCGACCGGTCGATCGCCGTGCCAGAGTTGTCGAAGATCCTGTGGGCACCAAAAGATTCCAGGAGAGCCGACTTACACTCAGATGAGGAAGCAGTGGACAGGCTGGAGTCTATCCACAGCACTCACGATCTTGGAACTGAGGAGCCGACAGGAGACAGACTAAGTGAGCAGAAGGCGACGGCGGACATGCCTGCGTCCAGACGACCATCAAAACCACTGGATCAACATCAGGATGATGAGAAAGCGGATACCGGCCACGTTCCAGATGCCATCATGCCCATAAGAATAGAGAAGTTGCCGCCTCTGGAGACGAAGGAAGTTGTACAGGAGCAGACAAAGGAGATTCCAAGCATGAGAGTGGCGGATGAAGGTGCAGCTGTCCCCGGCATTCCTGCCGCCGCCTCCATCGTTTCAGCCGCTCCAGACACAACCAACCCCGAAGATGCCACGGTGGCGGACGAGTCGAACATCAACATGTCGATCATCGAGCCACAACTGCCAACACATGTTCCCGTTACCGCCGACCTACACTCAGACCAGGAAGCAATGGACAGGCTGGAGCATATCCAAAACAGGCATGCACTTGCAGCTGACGAGCCCCCTTCATACAGACTGAGTGAGGAGGAGGAGGAGGTGGACGTGTCCGTGTCAAAACCGCTGGATGACAAGTACCATGAGGCTGAGCAAGCGGATACCGGCCACGTTCCAGATTCAATCCTGCCTATGAGCATAGAAGAGTCGCTGCGGCTAGAGAAGGAGGAGGAAGAAGAAGAAGAAGAAGAAGAAGAAGAAGAAGAAGAAGAAGAAGAGAAGCGCGAACAGAAGCAGGCGGAGGAGACTCCAAGTATGAGGGAAGAGGATAGAGATGCAGTCGTCAGATCCGCCCCCGCCGCCGTCGTCGACGCCGCAGCCTCAGCTGCATTAGCCGCAGATGCCACGGTGGCGGACGAGTCAAACGTTAACAGATCGATCAGCGAGCCACAGCTGCCGTCGTCGGCGCCGCCGCCGCTGTTGCTGCCACCATCACAAGCTCCCAATATCGCCGACTTACATTCAGACGAGGAGGTAGTCGACAGGCTGGAGCCTGTCCAAAGTATACATGACCTTGAAAGTGAGGGGCCCCCTTCAGACATACTGAGTGAGGAGCAGACGAAGGTGGATGTACCTGCGTCCAGAGGGCAGTCAAAACCACTGGATGACCACCACGAGGCTGAGCAAGCAGATACCAGTCAAGTCCCAGATGCAATCATTCCTATGAGTATCGATGAGCCGCCGCTTATAGAGACGAGGGAGGGTGCGCAGAAGCAGGCGGAGGCGACTCCAAGCATGAGAGTGGAGGAGGAAGACGCTGCTGCCAACTATGTAGCAGCATCCGCAGCCGCAGCCACGTTAAGTGACGAGTCACACATCGACGGCTCGATGCCGGAGGCACAGATGCCCCTGCTGCAGCTGCCGCCGCCACAAGCACCATCTCCCGCCGATGTACACTTAGACGAGGAGTCTATCCAAAGCATTCGTGACCTTGTAAATGAAGAGCTCCCTGAAGGCAGACTGATTGAGCAGCAGGCGACAGCGGCGGACATGCCTGCGTCCAGAAGACAGTCGAAATCGCCGGTTCACCATCAGGATGATGAACAAGCTGATACCGACTACGTTCCAGATGTTATCATGCCCATGTGCATAGAGGAGTTGCCGCCTCTGCAGACGGAGGAGGGTGAGCAGGAGCAGACAAAGGAGACTCCAGGCAGGATAGTGGATGATGAAGATACAGCAGCCACAACTGCCCCCGACATTCCTGCCGCCGCCGTCGCCGCCTCCGCCGTTTCAGACGCTGCAGTCTCAACCACCCCCGAAGATGTCACGGTGACGGACGAGTCGAACATAAACGTGTCGATCATCGAGCCACAGCTGCAGCCACATGGTCCCGCTACCGCGGACCTACTTTCAGAGGAGGAAGCAATGAACAGGCTGGAGCCTATCCAAATCAGGCATGAACTTTCAGCTGACGAGCCTCCTTCAGACAGACTGAGTTTGGAGCAGGAAGAGGTGGACTTGCCTGCATCCAGGAGACAGTCAAAACCACCGGATTACCATCATGAGGCTGAACAAGCGGATACCGACCACGTCCCAGATGCTATCATACCTATAAGAATAGAGGAGTCGCTGCCTCTAGAGGAGGAGGAGAACCGCGAACAGAAGCAGGCGGCGGAGGAGACTCCAAGTATGAGGGAAGAGGAACGAGATGCAACCGTCCCATCTGTTCCCTCCACCGCCGTCGACACCACCGCCGCATTCGACGCCGCCTCAGCCGCTTTAAACGCAGATGCCACGGTGACGGACGAGTCAAACATCGACAGGTCGATCAACGAGCCACAGCTGCCGCCGCCGAAGCCGCTGATGTTGCCACAACCACAAGCTGCCAATATCGCCGACTTACAGTCCGACGAGGAAGCAGTGGACAGGCTGGAGTCTATCCAAAGCACTCATTACCTTGCAAATGAAGAGCTCCCTGGAGTCCGACTCTGTAAGGAGCAGCCGACCTCGGATATGCCTGCGTCCAGAAGACAGGCAAAACTACTGGATGACCACCATGTGAATGATAAAACTGATACCGGCGACGTCCCAGTTGCTGCCACACCGATGAGCAAAGGGGAGTCGCCGCCTCTGGAGACAGAGGAGGGTAAGCAGGAGCAGGCGAATGCGACTCTAGGCATGAGGGCGGAGGAGGAAGATGCAGCTGCCACATCTGCCCCCGGCATTTTTGCAGCTGCCGTCTCCACCGTTTCAGCCGCTCCAGTATCAACCACCTCCGCAGATGCCACGGTGACGTACGAGCCAAACATCAGCATGTCGGTCACCGAGCCACAGCTGCCGCCACATGTTCCCGCCACCGCCGACCTACACTCAGACGAGGAAGCAATGGACAGGCTGGAGCCTACCCAAAACCTGCAAGGACTTTTAGCTGACGAGCCCTCTTTAGACAGACTGGATGAGAATCAGGCGACGGCGGATATGCCTGCGTCCAGAGGGCAGTCAAAACCATCGGATGACCACGAGGATGCTAAACATGCATATACCGGTCGCCTCCCAGATGCAATCATACCTATAAGAATAGAGGTGTCGCTGCCTCTAGAGCAGGAGGATGAGGAGAAGAATCGCGAGCAGAAGCCGGCGGAGGAGACTCCAAGTATGAGGGAAGAGGAGAGAGATTCAGTCGCCAGATCTGCTCCCGTCCCCAAGCTTGACCCCGCCGCCGACGCCGCCTCAGCCGCATTAGCCGCAGATGCCACGGTGACGGGCGAGTCAAACATCGACAAGTCGATCACCGAGCCACACCTGCCGCCACATGTTCCCGCTACCGCCGACCTACACTCAGACGAGGAAGCAGTTGACAGGCTGGAGTCTATCCAAAGCATTCATGACCTTGCAACTGAAGGACCCCTTGGATACAGACTGAGTGGGGAGCAGGAGAAGGCGGACACGCCAGCGTCCAGAAGACAGTCAAAACCGCTGGATGACAACCTCGAGCATGAGCAAGCGGATACCGGCCACGTCCCAGTTTCTGACATACCCATGTCCATCGTGGTGTCTTTGCGTTTTCACAGTAATGTGAATGATTCTTCCGAATAAACTTTTCTTTACGACATCTTTCATCTATTTTCATTCATTCTTTTTGTCCGAACCCTTTGGCCCCCTCTGTATCAAATTTACCCTCCTCCTGTGCCTCATCTTCTTTCCTTCAGCTTGTCATTTTTACGATTTGTCACCGATTTCATTCAGTTTATGAGGACATCCTTCAGTCTATTCATAATTGCATTGACTTACTGCTGTAGTCTGTTCAGGTGGAAACGTCGGATTCGCGTGGTCTATGAAGATTTGCACATTTTCGTTACCTGGGCCATTTGTTTCGTGTTTGACCCTATGCCGATGGCATGGCGCTGTAGTGATATTACGTCTTTTCTTTCTTTGTCTCTATAATTTTTTGACATTTTAAATTTCTGTCGGGTATGTAATTGCATGTCTCTTATTTCTTCCGCCCTATTGTATTCTCTTCAATATATATGCGATCTTATCGCCACACATCATCGGCTGTCATAAATTCGGTCTTGAAATCTATTCCGCGCTTCCTCTGTTCATTTTTTTCTGGTGATACCCACACAGACTTTGTGAGTTTTATGTGTGCGATCGCATGCATTTTAACAGTCACCTTCACCTGTGTACACTCATGTTAGATGAGGTTGGCTGGCGAATGGCGAATTAATAACGAACTGATCTGGGTTGCGTTTGGGGGCAGAGAGGGGGGGGGGTTAGGGGCCGTCAGCGGTGCGAATGTTGGGTATCGGTGATATGGACGTTTCCGGAGGCGTTTGACGGAGCTGTCAGGCTGTTGTTGCATTGGGTCCTAAGATTTCCGACGAGGCCAACCCGTGCGCGGAATGTCCTCTTAGAAGTGTATCCCTCCACTGACGAGCCGAACCCCTCGCAGCTGCGCCATGCAGCGGCAGAATATCGGCGAAACACGCGGTTATGGGCTTTTGGCTAGTACCTGTGCTGTTAGTATGGTATCACCTTTCCCTACAGTATGCTACTAGCTGCCTCTCGGTAGTTAATGAATATTACGCGGTTAGCCGCTGTGGCTGATGGACTTAGGCCCAAATAGTCATGTATGAAATTCTCGGTCTGAGCCTATAGATCTTGGATAAACTTATCTACTCCAACTTCGTAGATAATTTCTGATGAAATTAAAAAGCGACAAGTCTTCATGACTGCCCGCCATGCCTGTCAATCCCAAGTGAGACTCTCCCGATTGGCCGGGTTGATTCGGATGCGCGTGAAGGAAGACTTCAGAGAGTCCTGGTAACGTCGTTTTCGACCTTTTTGTCGCGGGGTCATTGTACGTCATTGTTGAAGAGTCGCTTAGGTCAGCGCTCGTCACTCATCCCCATAACGTGACCGTCCCATCTGAGTTTATTTGTCTCAGCATGGCGTGGAAACTGATCACTCCAGTTCTCTCCAGTGCCCCTGTATCTGGAAATTCGTCTTCTGTATTCTCTCAAGGCATTTGAAGTGGAAGTGATTAAGTAACTTGGCGTGGTTGGCTTGAACTGCCTAGGTCTCAACTCCATATGGTAAAAGAGGTTCCAACTTCCACGTTTTCCGTCTGCTCACTTTGCCCTCCCCATCTAATATGTAGCATTTAAAAATTTTCAGGTTTGGTAGACCTGCAACCGGATCGGTAATTAGGCCTTACTGCGTGCCTTAATTAAGAGCTTTCTGTTATGACCCGGCCTCGTATTTGGAAGCACGTGGGAGCGTATGCGTACCCGACTCTTGTCCCCAATACTAACGCGGCAGAGATGGAGATCGAGACCGGCCACGAAATTGTGTATTAGGAAATTGCTAATCCAGATTAGCTGGAAGTAACGCATCTTTATAACGCCCTACTGTGGTTCGCCGGCATTCGGCCCAATGCCCTTCGGGAAGAACATTCCAGATGACCTGGTCGATAATTCGAATACGCAGATCGATCAGACTCGAGGGGAAAAGCCAATGGAGAGACGCCAGGATTAAGATGACAACGTTGTAGAGAAAACGCAGGTGGCCTCCAGTGATTGGCTAGCTCTGGTTTTTGGGAGTGTAGGCACTCCCAACACCTCCCGTCCAGTAGGTCAGTACTACTTTTGGCGTGGACTGACCTGCATCGGCCGCGTTGTTCGGCGCACGCGGTTGGTCCGGTGTCTTGGTCGTGGTTTACTGTCTGGAGACATGGGGGGCAGTGACTGATACCGAAGGCGGTACATCCGAAGGGGGCGCAGCAGTGGTTTCGGGAACCGACCGATCTGCCGGAATGGCGACGGTATCCTGTAGGATTTCAAGAGGGAGTGACGACGCCGACTCGAGCCCAGTTGTGTTACTGCAGTATGGCCGTTGGATTTGGTTGTGGTGACGAACCCGGATGCCATCACCAACGTCGACATCAAATAACCTACTGCCTCTGTGCGCTACTACGGTTGACTCAATCCAGTCAGGGAACCCAACTCGATAATCACGAACGACGGCAGATGTTCCGACGGAAAGCTTTCTTCGAGAGACTGGAGAAGTCTGCACGGGTTGCGCACCGATAGGGACGATTGCATGAAATGTTGCACGCAGTTTTCGGCCTATCAACGCTAGGGCAGGAGAAACGCCACCAGGGGACGCCGGGTTCGGTGTTGTCCTGTCACCCAAAAACAAGAGCTAGCCAATCATTGGATAGGCCACCTGCGTTTTCTCTACAACGCTGTCATCTTAATGCTGGCGTCTCTCCATTGGCTTTTCCCCTCGGGCCTAATCAATCTGCGTATTCGAATTATCGACCAGGTCATCTGGAATGTTCTTCCCAAAGGGCATTGGGCCGAATGCCGGCGAACCACAGTAGGGCGTTAAAATATGCGTTACTTCCAGTTAATCTGGATTAGCAATTTCCTGATACACAATTTCATGGCCGGTCGCGATCTCCATCTCTGCCGCGTTAGTATTGGGGACAAGAGTTGGGTACGCATACGCTCTCACGTGCTTTAAAATACCAGGCCGGGTCATAGCACTTTCTTTGTGCTATTTTGCCCCATTATCAAACACTAGCAATCCTCTGAGGACCTTGGAGTTTGGTTGATGAACTGGTCACCGGCGTCCAAGAGTTCTTTAGGGCTACCCCCCCCCTTTAGAGTGAAGGTAAGTGCGCGCACTTCTTAGCTTAGTGACAGGGTGTTACTGTTTTGAATAAGTTATATCCATTCCAGAGTGTTAGATGGAAACAAATTTACAAAACGAAGGGCTTCAATACCAAGGTTGACCGAAAGCAAGAAGTTTCTTGGTTGATGACCGGCGGAACTCAGTGCGAGTAGTCAGTCGATGTACAGTGCGTGACCTATCTCATGAAATGTTGGCTGAAATTCTGAAATGCGTTTTCGACTAGGAAGGATTACTTGGTCGCGGTTGTAATACTGATTATCTTAAGGCATACTCCTATTACATTTTGGACTCGGCAGGATGTCGGCTTTTAAATGCACTTCTTTTCAATCTCCTGTAGAAAGCGTGCTTGGTAAAAAATGACTACTTAATTAGCATGCATTTTTCCCAATGATTTTCGATGGTCTTGCAAATTCAAATATATTTTATAGAAACCACAAACAAAATATGTTTTCTTTTAGTCAATCAATAGAGAATCAAGTGTTCTTTATATTTTTTACTAAAGGAAGGAGTATAATTAGGTTTTAAAAAAGTTTTCTAATTGCCGAAAAATTTGGAGCCTGATCATTCGTTGCATTAGCGCTTAGTGATTACACTCTACAAGGTGCATGCGTTCCGCGTAAAGAAAATCCCATATTTTTCTATGTCATTAAAGAGATATCATACAGGGTCTATAAAATTTTGCGATGGATGCGGACCATGTTGTACATTTCATGAGGAACAGTGATAAACGGTCAGGTACGATGCTAAGTGAATGGACATATCGCGGTCTTAAAAAGTCTCATAATTAGAAACTTTTTAAAACCTAATTATACTCCTTCCTTTAGTAAAAAATATAAAAAAGACATGATTCACTATTGATTGACTAAGAGAAAACATATTTTTGTTTGTGGTTTCTATAAAATATATTTGAATTTCCAAGACCATCGAAAATCAATGGGAAAAATGCATGCTAATTAAGTAGTCATTTTTTACCGAGTACGCTATCTACAGGAGATTGAAAAGAAGTGCATTTAAAAGCCGACATCCTGCCGAGTCCAAAATGTTATAAAAGTATGCCGCAAGATAGTCAGTATTACAACCGCGACCAAGTAATCCTTCCTAATCGAAAACGCATTTCAGAATTTCAACCAACATTTCATGAGATAGGTCACGCACTGTACAACGCCAACGTCCAATAAAAAGGTTAGGGAAAACGTGTAAGCTACTATCGCGTCCATCTCACGACGCCCATAGCAATCAGCGATAACACTAACGCTATCCCACCACCGTCATCGCCGCCGATAGTCCACTGTTACAACCCCCGCGGCTACGAAATCCACTCTTCGCGCTCCAACCATCGTTGAGATAACTCCCGACAACCGTCCCCAAAACCACCGTTGAGATAACTCCTAACGCCCCTCCAGCCAAGGTTACCGCCTACTGCACCACCAGAAATGCGTACTCGACCCATCAATTCGATCGCACATTCGTGTCACGCAGCACACTGGTTGGTCACCTGAGAATCCATCGCACTGAAGCTGACAGAACAGTGCCAGAGAAAGCGAAATATGCCCGTTGCACACGGCTCAAGTACCGCAGTGCCCACAGACATTCCGTCACTCCATGGGTCTACTCGGCCATATGCACCTCCTGCTGTAGAATGTCGCAGACCAAACTCCATCTTCACGCTTCTTCCCACCAATACATACACCATGCAAGAATCTGCCCCTCATCGTCGGCCATATTACCCATTTCCACTGTCACAATCCCCGCGACTACGAAATCCACTCCTCGCGCTCCAACCACCCTTGAGATAACTCCCGACAACCGTCCCCAAAACAACCGCTGAGATAACTCCCGACGCTCCTCCAGCCCAGATTACCACCAACTCCACCACCAAGAATGCGTACTCGATCCGG